TTACGTCAGAGGGCCAAAAACCCTCCCGTATACTTAGGAGCCCCATTTTTAATTTAAAATTAGGTGGTTCTTTGAATTTTCTCCTGACCTTTAACGTTTTTTCTTCAAGATAAATTCACTCAGCACTAGAAATACTATCGAATTAATATATCTAGGCTTTCGGACTATAAAAGGGCATAGAAAAAACAGGATTTGCGCTGGAATTAGGTATCCCCTGCTATGTTATTGTTTCTCCCGGTTTTTTTTTGCTTCAAAATAAAGTCATTCAGCACTAAAAATAAGCTATAGGATCAATATTTTTTGCTTTTAAGACGGTAAAGATATTTAGAAAACCCAAAATTTCCGCTAAGAGTGGGTAGTCCCTGTCATTTTATTGTTTGTTTTGATTTTGGGTTTTTCCTCCGAGATAGATTGATGCAGCGCGGAAACCGCGTTAATTTCAGCGTGGCTTTTACCTTTTCGACCTAGTATTGATAAAGTTTAGGCTAATTTTAGGGTAAACCTTAACCAGGAAACGAAAAGGCCGAATTCGGCCCTAAGCAAAGAAAGTTTATGGATTGCAAGAACACTCTAGGGGGTTTCCTGCGCTCTAGAACCGTGGGCTTTTGCTTGCTTCACGATTTCCACGGGCTCTTATGGACGTTTGGACCACAGCAACTAGCAGGGTGACGGTTGTTAGGCGAGGAAAAGGCCCGCGAACCCTAGCGCTTTCTCAAGATCCACTCTCACGATAAGCTTTTCAAATTTTTGCTCGAAAATATGCTCGTTTCTTCGGTCAATTTTCCGATTTCAGATGCCCCTTCCCCCAAAGGACCAGGTGGCCGCAGAAGTATGCGCTTCTAAAAGCCAAGGGCACGTTTGATGAGGTTTGTCCGATTCTAATAACAACATCTAATCCTAATTTTTGAGATTCGCCAGGAAGGTCGTCGAGAAGATCGAGAAACAGGGCGTATTCGACGATATTCGGGTATGCATTTTCCCGCGTGAATTTATTGGGTTTTTTAGGAAAGAGCAAAAGCCGAGGCCGAGAAGTATTTGGAGCACGTATCTGACGACACGAATAAAGAAGTGATACGGATGAGACTGCGGGAGTTGATTAAAAAGTGAGGTTTAGGTGTTTTGTCTCCTGTCAAAAAAGACTGTGACACGGATTTTAGAAGAGGAGCTATTTCGACTAACGTGTTTTCGTGGTGTTTTGGTGAAATTTTAGCTATATTTCACTGGAAAAAGCTGAGAAAAACGTAGAAAATTTTATGAGGATTTTCTGTTGTTGCCCAAAAACATTTTTATATTGAGTGTAGGTGCTTTCGCGATATTGGGTGCGAGGAAAGAACTTTTCATATTAACCGAGAAATGCCTAGCCAAGTAATAGTAAATGTTTTAATAGCGTTTCTATTAAAATTTAACTCTATGCTCTGTGGTAAAAACAATCAAAAAAAAAGCGTGGAAAAGGTTTTTTTTAGTTAAATTTCGGTCGTGAATCCATATTTTTGTATTTTTTTTATAAAAGCTTGTAACGTTTGTAATTGTAAAAACAGTGAGAGGCACATCGTCTATATGTCAGAAAAAATTGGTTTCTTAGAAAAAGAGCATCGGATAATGCGAAAGAACCCGTTTTGAGTCGTAGAAAACCCGTTCTTGAAGGCCTTTTATTTGCCGGTTTTTAACACTAACCTGAGGCTCCTTTAAACTTTTAAATGTTTTCTGCGTTTTTTGAACATTCAAAACGCTCCTTTTCAGCTACGACGACCAATTACAACGGATCGTCGACACGTTTATGCGCGAGCCATGGATAGAGGCCGAGCTCGACAAGGAAGTACAACAGTGAGCAAATCATCATTTTTTGTAACTTTAATTATTTCAGAAAAGTGCGCTCAATCTACGGGCTGACGAGCGAATGACCCCCGATGAACCTTCGTCTCGCCAAAGCCACACACCCACCAAAGCCGATAGTAATATGCAAATTTCACGCGGATATGTATGATTTTTCGGATATTTTCGAACTGATATTTTTGGACTTTTTCTGTGATAGCTGGGATCTCATTTTTGCGGCAAATATTTATTAAATTACACCCTGTACAGATAGATAACCACACGAAATTGGCTTTCTGGCTTGTTATCCCTGCTGGATGAGGGCGTATTGGCTGTCGGAGGATGGCGGTGGGGTAGCTTTGGAAGGGGGGCTGGTTGCGAAGAAGGACTGTTGGGGGCTTGCACCCGGAAAAGCGCTGGTGTCTGAAAACTTGTTTTGTAATTTTGCGCCTTTCGTGATTTTGTAGCCTTCAAAACTTGAGGTTTTTAGTCTTTTCAGAACGGGAGCGTATATTTCTAGGCCCATTTTTCCCATATACAAGTAGCGGCAGGGCTCTACCTCATGTTTAATCCACTTTTGAACGTAAAAACCTGGTTTTCGTTGGAAAAAAATCGATTTTTTTTTGCCCGAAATCTCGAAATTCTGCAATTCTCTCCGTTTTCCTGGCCAGTTTTCTTTTACTAGAAATCTAGCTATGTTTTTATTATTAAAAGCGCTGTTAAGTGGTGAAACTGCTTTTACTATTTTTTTAAGCGTCAAAACCGCACAAATTTGACTTAAAAACACTAAAAATATAATCCGGCAAAAATTGAAAATGTCAAGGTGTTTTTTACTTTTTTACTTTTAACCTTTTTTGTTTTTTATAGTTTTTAGCAATTTTTAACCAATTTTTGCTATCAAAGATTCGTTATGTTCATCTACCGACCTGCGGAACTGCGGAGTGGCTGGAATTGCTGGAACTGTTGCTGGTGTTGTGGCGGTTGTTGCTGCGGGAATTCGCGGTTGTTGAAGTGGTTGGTTGTGGGCCGTTGTAGACGGTGCATGATTCGACGGGGCGGACGGGGCTGTCTGGATTCGCTTTTTACTTTTATTCGACTGGAAAACCTCGGCATAATTCTGGCAGCTGGGGCGACGGGAACTTGCGCTGCCGGGGCGAGCGGGCGGGCCTGAAAACGTGAAAGTTAACATTTTCGACGATTGAATGCCCAGATAGGTAACTTAACGATCTATTAGGTTTTAAGGCGTCAAAAAGCTATTCAAACCTTGGGCACAAAGTAGGTGGGCGGCTGGGCGGCTTCAGTCTCGGTGGGCACGATGTACGGGCGGCTGGTGATCGGCTTCTCGTGTACGATTCGGCGTCGCGTACGCCAGGATGAAGCTGGAAAGTGGATTTTGTTTAAAGTTTTAATTTATAGTGATCGATAAGGCGCTTTTTTTTCTATACTTCCTTCTGTATTCCATTCTAAACCTGATACCTAAAAACGCTATAATTCTTATTGAAAACACAAAATAAAAATAGCGTTTTTAGGTAAAAATTGCCGATTTTCGCCCAAATTTCGAACTTTCAGGCACTTTTCTAGGTTTTTCTAAACCGTTTTCTACCTGAAATATTATAGGTTGGCTTGAATTTTCAAAATTTAAGAAATTTTCGAGTTTTAGCATAGGTTTTTCCATCTTAGATGTAGCTAAATTTTACGATAAACACCGAAAAGTTGGTTTTAAACGATGAATTGGCTATTTTTGCCCACTACTTTATGTAGTACGATTAGCTCACCGTCCCTCCCTCTTAATCTTGCAGATCAGATCCGAATAAAAGTGGGATTTGGAGGCGAAATCGCCGATGCCGGTGATCGTCTCGAAGGGCGTGCCGAACTTCTTCTCGCAACGCTCCTGGAAACGGGTTTTTAGAAGCCAAAAACCGAATTTCGAAAATGCCGCTGTGTTTTAGGAATTCATCATTTCCTGCTCGATTTTTCTACCTGAACGGCGTTGGAGATTTGCTGCGAGTTGCAGTTCATCCAGCCGGTCTTCTTGTCGAGGAGTTGATACGCGTCCTTGAGCACATCTTCCAGCGTGCTGTTGCAGCACATGAAGCCTGGAAAAAGATTTGGATTCGAGTTTTCGATCAGAATTTGAAAAAAAATAAGGAAAAGGAAGAAATTCTGGACATGAAAATCTGAAATTTTAGAAATCAAACTAAAAAGATGAGTTCTCAAATTTCGTCGGTTTCCACAGTTGGCGTGCCTATGTGTTTGTAGCTTCTTAGCTTTGTCGTTTTCAAAAGAAACAAAGCGTTAAAACGAAAATATGCGAGTTTTCTAGGACCAGATAAGTGGGGTTTTCAGGTTTCATCGATTTCGCCCTGGTCCCAGTTTTTCTCGGGATTTTTGCAGACAATGTCGTCGACTTATAGGTACTTTACCATCAGGATTAGTGTAGCACGACGCGATGGGGTAGTCCAGCCTGTGGTTCGTGTACTTCTTCGGGGCGGGCGTCGGCTTCGGCCGGGGTCCATAGGTGTGCTTCGCGGGAGCGGCCGTGGTTGGGGCCGGCCTGAAATAATTTTAATCATCTAGAAACACGAATTATTCGGTAGAGCTCAGCAACGTAGGTAAAAGCAAAGCTCCGCAGCAAAGCTTAAAAAAATGGTTTACAAAAGCTGAAAAGGTTTTCAAATCGTGTTTTTTAAATTCCGGCGCGTAAAATATAGCGTTTTTAGAATTATGAAGCTAAAAATGGCGGTTGAGGGGTAAAATTGAATGATGGGCAAGGTCAAAAAATTGCTTTTTTTCAAGCTGAATGGTGGAAGTTGACTTTTCCGAAGCGGACCCACGTTTCCGGGGCGTTCGTCTCATCATCATAGCTCTCCTCGTAGGGCTCCTGGATAGGTGTTGTTTGTTGTGTCGTGGCCTGAGTTGTCGTTTCCGCCGGCACATATGGTGCTTCGGTCATCTAAAGCTCCATACGCTCCTGATTTCGCTAGAAAACAAACCGGCACGACGGCCTCAGGCTCATAGGCGGGAGCTGGAGCTGGAGCAGGAGCGGGGGCTGGAGCTGCAGGTTGGGGCTCTTCGTAGGGAGCTTCGGTGACCTAAAATGAGGATGACTTGGGTGAATAGGAAAGTTTATACCGGGGCAGCCGTTTCTTCCGGATAAGACGGAGCTGGGGTGGCGGCTGGCTATTCGTAGAGAGCATCAGTGGCCTGGAGAATGAAGTATTAGGGATATAACGTTTAGAAGCGAGAGAGAAAGAGAGAGAGAGAGAGAGAGAGAGAGAGAGAGAGAGAAAAACACAGCTTTTCCAGCATAATCCCTCATTTGGCTGCGCCCGCTCGGCGGTCATCTTCATCAATTCGGCCACCGGATCGCTGGCCGACAATAAGTGAGGAAAATATGGAAATTCTGAGCCTAAAACGTCTAAATCGTGCCAGTGCCAATGACGCAGCGGCAGAAAACACTTTCAAAACTTTTTGGACCTCTTAAAAATACGGAATTCTGCGAGATTTGCCCAGTTCTCCGCTAAAATCCGCCCCTTTTTAGGATGGGCAGCCGCATCGGCGAATTCCACACGATCGGCAGCAGAATGAGCAAGGTTTACTAAAAGTTCCTCTGCTAAAACGAAAGGATAAAAAATCCTTTCTTTCTTAAAATCTCCCGGCTAAAAATCCCACCCCCGCTAACAGCCCAGTACCAAAACAAACGACTGACTGCTGCATCGTCATTCACTGCGCACATTCACATTCACTCGACCTGCGCCCCGACGGCGTTCTGTGCTGCTCGCTGGTGCCCGGTTGGGTGAAAACGGACATGGGAGGAGATGGCGCCACCACGACGGTTTGTGCTTGAAAAGTTTCCTTCTTCGCCATAAGCTGAACGTAAAAAGCTTTTGCTCCGTGTTATCCCGCCCTTGTTGCCATTCGTGAACATCTCCAGATCGAGGAGGCGTGCACAGAGATGGTGGCGACGATGCTGAAGATTGACGAATCACACACGGGCGCATATCTGCGCCGCAACGGCGAACAATTCCCATTCTGAATTTCCGCGACTCTGAATCGGAGCTGAATAAAAATTATTGATCGTTTTCTGCTCACAACGAATTTTTATAAGCGAAAAATCGGCACAAAATATTAGAAAAACAAAGAAAAGATCAATTCGGAATCGGGGGAACGAGAGAGGGCGATGCATTTCAACGGATGAGGGAAATCAAGGATACAGACATAGAGAATAGAGATCTAGACGACTTATTTCTTCTTGGGCGAGCCGAAACCGCCGAATCCCATCATTTCGGCCATTTCGGGGTCGAGACCGCTCGAGCCCGCTGATGGCCCATCGTCCTCATCTTCTGGGTCGGCCTTTCTGCAAGAGATCGATTGAACAAAAGCAGCAGAATCCGTGCAAAAGGTTCAAGATGGAGGCAGCAAAAGCGCGCAACAGGGCTAAGCCACGGGACGGGACGCTAAAAACCTTCTTTGTTTGTCCTAAATCAGCTTTTTCACAAGATTTTCAAATCTACCCAGCCCAGAAAAGAGCACAAGAAGTAAAAAGCGCTGGAGCGACCTTGGAACCCCTCGATCTAGGAAACAGGGCTATTCCCACCCGTACGATTTCTCAACAAGGTTTCGCAACGATCGGCTGGCTAAAAAGATAGAAAATAACAAGAAAGTTAGCGAGAAATCGATACGGCTAACGGTTCTAATCGAAACTTGGAGACTCAAGCGAAAACAAGCCCCGGCAAGTCAAACTAATCTCGGTGGAATGGAGGTTTGTGGCCTATACCTATCCTAAAGCTACCTGGAAATGCCGCCCTATCACAATCTCTAAAAGCAGAATAACTAAACTCAGAATCTCTAAATTTCGGAATTTCGAAATTTCCTTGTTCAGAAAACCACAGGAATTTTGGCGGGAATTGAGTGTGACGAAAATTTTACCAAAAGCCGTCTTTGAAAACCTTTTCGGGGGTAATTTTTTCGCGCTGATTCCGAAACGTAATAGCGAATCACGAATGCGGAACGAAATTTTCTATCTATGCTTCTGAAATTTGGAGATTCTGAAAGTTTGCCCTTAAAAGCATCACAGAAGCTATAAAGCCAGCAATTTTTGGCCTCCGTTCCCTGGCCTTGCCGCATTGCGCGTTTCTGTCGTCATGGCAGTCGTCCGGCGTACCGCTTGCGCTCCTTCCGCTTTCCCTGCTTGTAGTCGACCATTCGGGCCTCTTCTTCTTGAATCTCTTCCAGCGCCTCCTTGATCTGCTCCTCGCGCTTCTGGCTCACTTCTGAAAACAAACTATTTACAATGTTAAGGGAAAAATTGACGAATGGGAATGTTTAGCCCGTTTTTTCCGAGCATAAAAACCAAAAAGGGGATACGCAGAAGGGCACTCGTTTGACTGGTAAGGAAAACAACCCGTAAACTCGATATTTAACCGTTTTAGCTTGTAAAATCGATAACACCCGACCAATTTCACTATTCCCTTCATATTCGCCCAAAAAAAGGGCGAGAAGTGGCAGCAAACCTGGCTATAGAGAACAGAAATAAGCAAAAAAAGCGGCGGATTTACGCCGAAAAAGAAATCTTTCCCCCTGCGCTTTTTTTCTTGCTCTATATAGCTAAACGACCAAATAAATAATTTATGACAAGGTTTTTATACAACTTTCCTCGATACAATCGTATTTTAAAGACGTATACAGGCGTTTTGCCTTACCATTTACGCGAGTACCCCACTGCGTATGGTTTCCGTATCGTTGAGTTTCGCAACGTTCAGCAAAACTGACGCTCTTTCTTCTTGAAGGCGAATCGTGCCTTGACATCGTCGAGTGTACTCCGTTTCACCTTCATGCTCATCCCCATATTCTTCTGGTGGTTCTTGCCGTTGATGTGGTCGAGGAAGTTGATACAATCCTAGGCATAAAAATTTGTTCAAGTCAATATGCCATCCAGGGATTGGGAAATGTTTAGCATCCGGTCGCTAAACCAAATCCCGACCGCTATATGTCAAAATGCTCAACAGATCGTGGATATTTCGACTCCAAAAGTTACCAAGTAAAGAAACGAAACTAAATTTTGTCTACGTTAGAATATTCATCAGGAAGTGCTGTTCGCAGATCAACTGAACCAAGCTTTCGGAAATTCTGGAAATGGAACCCCGGTTTTGTAAGTAAAAAATCTTGTATTTTGGCAGCATTTTGTCATATAAAACCCCGAATTTCTCTTTGTGATCGGATACTAGAATTTAGGGCAAATCATAGTCGAGCAACTGCGAATTTTAAGCCACACGCAAAAACGACGCTTTAGCAACTCTCTTAAGAAAAGAAGATAAAAGGATTGTAATCGCCGTTATCATTACTTTTTCTTAGTCTAAAACGAATTTCTGCCAACTGACGTCTTCTAAAGCATCACTAATACGCCGACGGCGCTAATTTTTCACAGGATGCGTCTGTTTTTCAGCTAATTAGCCTTGCATCTCCTCAAGACACTAGATCATTAAAAGTTTATGTTTTTTCGAGTTAGAGACAAGTTTATAACATCAGGAAAACAGAAACAAGAGCCGAAAGTGGTTCTTTTATGGGCTTACTAGCAAACCGCGTTGACGATTCAACTAAATGGCTAATAAAGTACACGTGTTGTTTGTTTTTCTCCTCCCAAAAGTAATTTGATCCTAAATATGGATGCTGATGCGGGGAAATTGTACCGAAAACCGCATCAGCCTATCTTTTTGAGCGAATTCCCACAAAAGAACATCCAAGAGCCCCTAAAGTGTGAAATGCGGCGTTTTAGTTGGTAGAAATTATTTTCCAACTAAGAAAAAGTAAACGAAGTGGCGATTTTAAAAGAGTTTCTATCTATTTCTAACGAAAATTGCAAAAAATTCGTTTTCCCTCAGTCGCTCATCCGTCATTGCCCGACTGATTTGGGCCCGGAGTTAGCGAGGGTTTTACCTTGATCACACAGTCGCACACGTTACAATAGTAGCCGCCGGCATCGCAATTTGGAGCCGTCGTGTTGATCACCACACTTTTGCCCACCTTCGACTCGAGGTCTACCTAAAATGATGGATTCACGGAAAAGAAGGCGACAAACGGACCCTGTAGTCGCGAGCCTGCAGCAACTCGCGGGCCGTCTTCGGCTTGATGCCCTCTTCGGCTTCTTTCTCGAGGGCGGCCCTTTCCGACGCCTTCAACGAGTACTCGTACGTGTTCCATGTTCGACGATGACTCTGTCCGGGCTGATGTGCCCGCTTTCTCGTAGAAAGACATTACCTGGAAAAGGGAAAAATTTCTGAGGCGGTTTTAGCGGTAAAAACGATGTAAATGGATTCCGAGAACAGGAAGGACCGGCAGATCGCTTGATGCCTATTTTACCCATAATTCTTTGAAAACCGGCGTTTAGAGCGCTGAAATCACCAAGAACAATGCCGTGTAAAAGATTTCCGACTGCTGACCCTCGTTGCTGCGAGTGCGCGGCGTAAAGCGGGCATAGTTTGGCCACGTAAAAGAAGCCAACAATAAAACTCGCGTTTCGTGCTCCACTTTGTGCAGATCGAACGTAAGACAAACTGCATTGCTGCAAAAATAATATCACTGGGAAATTAAAATCCTTCTTTTCTAAAAAAGCGTCAAATTGGGTCAAGATTTTATTGCCATATCTGATCGAACTAACAGAACTACAGACTTTGAAATACAACAGAAAGAGGATAAAAGATGAGGCATGTAAAATGACAAAATTATCACCAGTAAAAATATTGAGTGAGGGAGAGAGAGAGAGCTTCTAGAATTCCAACTTCTCGATCTTTTCGCCGCGATGGTCGCAGTAGGCAGCCGAGTGCTGCATGTCGATCGAGCCGATCGCCTTCACCAGCTCCGCAACCGCTTCTTCATCCTAAAGAATCGAACTATTGATGACAAGCAGAGAAAATCCTAAGAATTCAAATCTGATTTTTGCAAACGCGCAATTTACCTTTTCCCCCATATCCACGCCGACCGACGCCACGATGACATCGAGCTCTTTCAGTGCCACCCCCAAGATCTTGGTCATTTCGCGGATAGCTGCCTAAAAAAAAGGTTTCGAACGTATTTTTTAATCAAACCCGACTCATTTGATAGCCAATCGAGTGCGGGTCGTGGCCGCTGGACGGCGTGTTCGCGACGATGGATTCCTTGTTCGATATCAAGTTAATTATTGCGCCTCTAAAACAAATTTATGATAAAAACCTACAATAAAGAACCGACCTTTGCGCTTCCCCGTCGCTCTTATCGAGAAAACACTTGCGAATCAGAGTCAAAAACACCTAAAATCATCAATAAAGGAATTTTATTTACAATATACCTGGCTGATCACGAGCGCGGCGGTGGCGTTGGTGTCGAGTAGTGTTGGTTTTTAGTCCAAAGTCCACGGACTTTTTCGGACTAAAAAGTCCGCGGACTAAAAAGTCCACGGACTTTTTCGGACTAAAAAGTCCGCGGACTTTTCGACTAAAGTCCGCGGACTAAAAAGTCCACGGACTTTTCGGACTAAAAAGTCCGCGGACTAAAAGTCCACGGACTTTTTCGGACTAAAAAGTCCGCGGACTAAAAGTCCGCGGACTTTTCGGACTAAAAGTCCGCGGACTAAAAAGTCCACGGACTTTTTCGGACTAAAAAGTCCGCGGACTAAAAAGTCCACGGACTTTTTCGGACTAAAAAGTCCGCGGACTAAAAAGTCCACGGACTTTTTCGGACTGAAAAGTCCGCGGACTAAAAGTCCACGGACTTTTTCGGACTAAAAGTCCGCGGACTAAAAAAGTCCACGGACTTTTTCGGACTAAAAGTCCGCGGACTAAAAGTCCACGGACTTTTTCGGACTGAAAAGTCCACTGGACTTTTGGATTGCAAAAGTCCGCGGACTTTTAGTCGTGGAACCTCGGGGGTTTTGAATTAAAAAGTCTGCGCCAGCATTTCCGCTTCCATTCGTTTATGGCTCGACGAAAAACCCGCAAACCATTTTTAATTGGCACGCCATCTCATCTACATCGAAATATACAATTGTCCTTGTCGTTTTCTCTTACACGGTTTAAATTTGCGGCCAAGTAATCGTTATATTTTCAGGTAGAACTTGGTAAAATGGGAGGGTCGGCAGATGATCCGCGTCTAACAAGGGGAGAGAATTACAGGTCAGTGTTTATGTCATACTAATGAATGCTTTGGCAGTGCGACGACGATTCGGCAGCACATTGTTACGGTCGGAGATTCCTCAAAATGCAACTTCTGTGGGGCGATGTTCATCACCAAAGGCGGGCTGTCGGCAATCGGCCGCCATCTGAAGAAACATCTGGACGGTGATAATCCAGAGGTAATATTTTTCCGGTCGACTATCAAGCTATATACATAGGCCCCTAGCCCAAAAAGGCCCGTCAGCGACAAGGCCAGCCCGCGGCAGCTCCTGCAGAAAAGACCGGTGGGATAATTTTAAGGATTGATTCATGGAAAAGGATGTTTAGCAGGAGATTGACGATAAATGCCTGAACCTGATACTGTCAGCTAATCTGTCGTTCAACATTGTGGAGAATCACGATTGGAAGTAGGTGTTGCGTCTAAGCTTGATCCCTTGGTTTAGGGAATATACATTGGCAGTGAGTGGTGGGCGAACTAAAGGACCGACGCGGCATGCATTGTCGGGACCAATCCTCGACAGGCGGTACGGGGAACTAAAGGTTGGCGGATCTACGATGTTCCTAATTGTAATTTAGAATCTGTTGTGCGAGAGGCTGAAGGATGCGGTAAATATCGGGCTAAGTTTTGACTCCTGGTCGTCGAAGGCAAATACTGTCAGCCTACATTGGTAAAATTGAATCATTTTATTAAGCTTCCCCATTTTAGCACATACATTCACTGGTCTGACGCACAGATGACGCGACAAAATGCCCTGTTATCAATTGAAGACGTGACTAACAAGAAACAAGATGCCACATTCCTTTCCGAGGCAAGTTTACTCCGCGATTGGCGGTCTAAAATAGTATATTTAGATAGTCCTGGAGGATCTGCGAGATTTCCAAATTCCATTTGAGAAATTGGTTGGCTTCACCACCGATGGTGCCGCGAATGAAAAGTGTGCATCGAGGCGACTCGCTACGAAGGCGGGATTAAGGTAGCCCCAGACATTTCGCTATACCTTTTCTTCTAGTGATGAGACTTGGGTTCACTGCATTGCCCACCTGCACAACTGGTCGTTCTCGCCGGGCTCGACGATCCGAAAATCGAAGATCTTTTGTCGAGAATCCGTCATAACATCAAGACGATTCGCAAATCTACAAGGCTAAAAGCATTATTTGAAGAGTAAGCTAAGGATCCAATAACTTTAATTTTATTTAGGCTGCAAAAGAAGTGGGGAATCCCTGTGAGACGAGCCCTGCTAGACGTCAGAACTCGCTGGGGGTGCTACCTATGAGATGTTGGCCCTTTTCTTCCGACAGGTTGAGAAAATCAAAATGGGTCGCAATGTCTCTTTTAGCGGCAAGTCTATGAAGCTATGCGAGTGCAGAAGGGCATGTTCGAGATTGCCGAAGATGAGTGGCAAATCATTGAAGATCTCCTTCAAATATTGAAGTATTTTCATTGGTTTACCAAAAAAGTGAGTTTAACTACTTCTCTATTCAATGTTGGTTTAGTTCTCCGCTGATCAGATCACGATTTTCGAATATATGTATGCCCTGAATATCTTGCAGAAGGGCTTTGAAAGGTTAGTGATTTCTTCTTATCGGTAACGTGCCGTACCATAGCAGCCATCAATACCGCACCGAGGTTGGCACCAAATTAGCCGAAAGGATGGCGGAGCAGTTGGCGACTCGGGTGGAGGTAAATTGATTGTCCGCGGATGTGAACAGCAGGTTCAGGCAGCGAAGCGCAGCAAATTGATCCTAGCCGCAGCGGCCTTGTGCCCTTATTCATGGGGCTCGGTCAGGGTCTTCTCTGAGGGAAGATATGGCTGTTCAGGAGGGCGCGCTAGTTGCTCTTGGAAAAGGTAAATAATCAACTTATACTGAGTTTTTCTTAGATTTACTCAGAGCGTAGAGCCGTCCGAGTCTGTCGGGCCGTCGCAGTACGAGAATCCAGCGCCAAGAAAACGATCCTGGGCTAGCACCCAAGGGGACGAAGCTAACGACCCCATTGGCGCCTTGCTGACCGCCCCTACACAGCGGCTCGACCTGACGCATCTCCGCAAGCCGAAGGACGTCGAGGAAAGCATCAAGGTCGGGGCGGCTTTTCCCTGGTATCTCCATTTCAGATAGAGTTGATGCTGATAAAAGAAGCCTTCGAGTCCGAGAATTGCCCCGTGTACTTGGATTCCGGTGATTATGTGACACGCTTTTGGAAGAACCCTCGGCGATGTCCATTGCTACAAAGGTACGCGATGTTTCTAATGTTTTCGAATTCTGGTCCAGACGCTAACCGACCAGGTAGTATCCCCTTCTGGTATCCGAAACTTTTCCGTTCAGATGGTCAATGGTGAGCCGGCCTTGAAGGAGCTTGCGGAAGAGGATGAAGACTATCTGCTCTAAAGAGGAAATTGCGCAAGAAGGAAGCCCTAAAATCTCACCCACCGGAAGAGTTTTTTCGAGGATAACGAGGTAATATCTGATCATCTTCAAAACCTCCTTTCAGATATGACTGCCGACACTTGAAGAGCAATGCTCTCCACCCGACCCGGTCGCAACCCAGGAAAAAGCCCTAAATCTGCTCACTCAGAGCCCCTTTTTTGTTGGTTTTTGTTAGATTGAAAGTTTCCTAAGGCCGATATTGTTGTTCTTGTTGTTGTAGAGTCTCATTTGTTGTTACGTTTCACTTCTGATAAAGCCTTTCTCGGCAAACAAACCGAACCAAGACCAAAACACAGACAAACTAACGGCACAGTTATGGCCTATTCTGCCGCCCGCGTCTAACAATAAGAGCGATGGATGGTTACCACATGCCAATTAAGATGGTTGGTTCTGATGGTTATCAACGGTGGAAGATGCAGACTTCATTCAAAACCGGGACCGTAAAAGTATTCCTGGTGCGATTGAAGCGGGAAAGATCGACGGTTTGCGTCCTCAGTCCGGAAAAGTCGATGGACGCGCGGATCCGCGGACTTTTCCAGTCCGAAAGAATCCGTGGACTTTTTAGTCCG